AGATGGGTTCAGGGGAGTGTCACTTTAAGAAATCTTCACCTGGAGTTGTCTTTTTGTTACAGTATACAAATAAAAAAAACATTTGAATCAAAGCACTCTAGTTCAGAAACAGCTTTGATGTTAGCTGACGTTGCTAGTTAGCTTGAAACTACAGTCTGGAGCTGAGCTTTAAAGTCTAAGATTGTTCGTTTTCCTCAGAGGAGCAAAAAGCCAACTACAGTCTACCTCCTCTCCTGTGGGAGGTGCTATTGAGATAGTTTCAACGGTGTAACATTATTGTTTTTCTACTATGAGTTTGTGTCATTTTAGCTCCGTTAACTGTTAGCAACATTTATTTGTCGTTGTTACCATCTTTCACTTCATTTTGTACTTTCTAACCGTGGATGTAGACGGATGTCGCTCCAAATATTTTTGAGAGCGTAAATAGAGATAGAAGATTGAATTTTTCAAGGCCGACGACCAATGAATAAAACATTCAAAAACAGCATTTTTTAATTGGCCGTTCTGAGCTTTGTTGCTATGGAGAATTAACATTACAACGATGGTTTATCGTAAACACAGACAGGATGATTTGACACTGAGGAAACGCCGCTCCTCGCATTTCTTTGGTATAATTATTAAACAAATGGATATTATTATTAAAAACCGTGTAAACCACGTGTTGTATTATGGGATGTGTCTGTGTACAGTAGGCATGAGGAGCAGAACGGCTGCAGGGCTGAGAGTTGGAGGGTGTAGAAGAATGTACAGTAGAGGAGAGAGAGTGATGAGGCTGTAAACGACTGCAGAGCAATAATGATAATGGAAGAGATGGCAAAGGGACAACTTTAAACCTGGTTCTCTCTCTCCCTCTCTCTACCTCTCTCCCTCTCTCACAGTTACCTTTCTCTACCTGCTCGTCTTCATCTCTGACAGACGACCTACAGTAACTGAACGAACAGCGCCACCTGTGTGTAACAGTGATAATAATCGTAGAGAGGTCGTCGTTCAGTACTTCCTGTACTTCCTGTACTTCCTGTACACAAATCTCCTAACCGTCCACTGAGTGACTCAGAGTTTCCTGTTCAGCCCAGTCTGGACGTCTGATTTTCCAGACTAAATATGATGGAGCTGGGAATGATTTTCTTTTTTTTTTTGTGAGCCTCACTGGAGCGCCAGTGTCTTTACAAAAAGAAAATGTTGTCGAACAAAGAAATGAGAACATTTGGAAAAGCTGAAAAAAAAAATCAATACTTGATCTTTTTGTTAATATTTATATGAATTAATCAGATGTCGGGGCCTTAAATGTCAGATCTAAAAACCCTGTGGTTTTTAGTTTGATGCCTATTATTCGTTTTGTTATGTACATTTTTACGTACACAAAAATTAAAAAAAAAATATCCATATGAGAAAATCATTTCATGCAAACGTTGGTGTGTGTTTCCGTCCTCTGACGTCCGTGCTGCTGCTCTCTCACTGACCGAGCGGCCCAGACTCTACTGTAAATGATTGAATTACTGTGACGTCACAGAGCAGCAAAAAAAAAAAAAAAAAAAAAAATCAATGGACTGTCATCCCTGAATATATAATACACTTGTCACTCTGTGTCTATTTCTGTGTGTGTGTGTGTGTGTGTGTCGCTACAGTTCATCCACACAACCCAGTCTTTTCCTCCTCTCATTAATTCCTGTTCTCTTCGAGTGTCTCTCTCTCTGCAGTGTTTCTGCCAAGAAGTACACACACACACACACACACACGCACACACACACACACACACACACACAGTGTAGTAGCAAAAACCAACACAGTCACGACTTGACAGCACACACACACTCACACACACATACATATAAATAAATGAGAGAGACCAACACTATTGGCAACTAATTCGTAAACCCTAATGGCGCCTCCTACAGGCAGACATTCTAAATACACACAACAATACGAAATCAGCCACGGGTGTTTTTAGCCAAAGATCCTGAGGAAACACGTCGACCAAATAAGGAAGAAAAAAAATGAACATGTGTGAAACTGAGGTCAAAAGGTCATTACTCTGAACAACAAAAAACTTCTTTATATGAATATATACATATATACATGTACTGTATATGAGCAGGACACACACACACACACACACACAGCAGTGAGATGTTGTAAACATGCTGCGTGTGTGTGTCTGTGTGTGTGTGTGTGTGTGATCACATGAATATACATGAAGAGATGAAATATGGTTTTAATTGGCTATGTAGGCCAAGGAAATGTATGCACGGTGTGTGTGTGTGTGTGTGTGTGTGTGTACGCACACATTTAGTGTATCTAAGTAATGAGATCCTGCATGTGTGTGTAACACATGACAACAGCAGGGTGTGTGTGTGTGTGTGTTTTATTTAGGCTGCACTGAGTGATTGATCATAGGGAACGAGGAAAAGCAGGTTACTGCAGCGGGCTTCCGCCAGCAGTCACACCCCCCCACCCTCTCTCTCTCTCCCCCTCCCCCTTCATCCATATCCTCCTCCTCCACCCTCCCGCTCCTCCTTCTCCCATTTTTCCTACAAACCTTTCTCCCTCTCTCTCCACATACATCACTCTCTCCTCCTGTCCTCTCTCTCTCTCTCTCTCTCTCTCTCTCCCCCCTGCCCACCACTCTTCGCTCCTTCCTGTGGTCTTCCTCCTCTCCTCTCTCTCTCAGCCAAACCCATCTTGTTTTCCCACCGTCTTTCTCTCCCGGTCCTGTTTTCCCAGAGCCCACGGGAACAGAGAGACACCGTCACGTGTCCTCCTCCTCCTCCTCCTCCTCCTCCTCCTCCTCCTATCAACCTCCTGACTGCAGCCATACAGCACCACTCTACTGCTGCTCCATCCATCCAAAAAAAAAGACACAAGAGAAGAACACAGCTCCCTCCTCCCGTCTCTAACACAAGTGACATTTAACTTTGCCCCTGTTACTGCTGCTGCTGCTGTTACTGCTGCTGCTGCTGTTACTGCTGCTGCTGCGGGTGGGGGGGCGTGGGGGGGGGGGGC